TTTGGAAGACTATCAAGTCACCCCTAGACCTGATTTTCATTAGACTAGACAGAGCCAATTCCTGCAACTGTTCTTCATATGTTTTAGCCTCCAGTCACCTAATTCTCTTTGTTGCTCTTCTCTACATACTTGTCTCAACATCTTTTTTTATATCATGGATGCAATCTTCCAAGTACGGTCTTATATTAAAACTTTATAAAGCTGTACAAAACTTCGCTTGATCTTGATTCTATCCCCCTGTTAATGCAGCCTAGGACTGTGTGGCCTTTTTTGGCAGCTGCGGCACACGGCTGGCTCATATTTAAAAAGTTGCCACTAGGCTATTGAGTGCCACATATTTCCTCTTCGGGCATAGCCCCATTCAGATGGTCCCCCCCAGACACTGTATGGCGTCTCCATCTGGTGGCCCCTGGAATATCTTGTGGAGGGGTTAGCAACTGGTTGTCCCCCCATTTTTGAGGGCCAGGGGACCAGCAACGCTGTTTTTCAACGAATGGCCCTCAGGAATACCTTCTCTATGCTTAGGACCAGCAAACACAACCGACAGGGTTAATAAAGCCGGATCTGGGCTGCATAAATGCAGATGCCCAACAGGTGGCGAACAGCCCAATGTTGCCATAGACCAGGGGTGGACAAATGTGGCCCTTTTTACAACCTGTGGACTTCAACTCCCAGAATTCCTGAGACAGCTTGGCTGTCTCAGGAATTCTGGGAGTTGAAGTCCACAGGTTGTAAAAAGGGCCACATTTGCCCACCCCTGCAATAGACTAATCTTCACGTGCTGCCCTCTAGCGACCACTCCGGTTTTCCTAGTCCAGATCCACTTCAGTTTAGTCCGGATATTCGCAGCTCGGACCAGCCTACGAACGACACTAGAGTGCCCATCCTGACCGGCGGGAGTGCTTCGGACTGCAACTTCCGTCGTCCCTAGCTGTGACGCAGAGGGATGCCCGACCGCCTTTCCCGACCGCCTAGTAGCGTATTTCCGGCGCCCCGACAACGTCATCCGGAAAGAGGAAACGGGAGTGGCGGAAGTTTTTCTTCACCATGAGGCATCTTCATACGTTCTCTCTGATTTCCGACCAAGAAGCCGTTTCCTCCGGAAGAGAGGAACGCTACCGAGTTGAAGTCCAGCCCTTCCTCTTGGAGGACTCCGATTGAGGAAACACGGTTTCGTCGGCTTCTTCGTTTTCTATAATCCCTGTCAGTTTCATTTGGGATATGGGCGGCGAGCGGGTCCGTTCCTTTAGGTTTTTATATTCTTTTATATATTAATATATATATTAATCGACAAAGCACTATGGGGCAGGCTTGAGAAGGCCTCAGCGGCCGAGATCAATATCACTCTCACGGATTGGTCCGAATTCCTCTTTCACTAGGCAGCGCTAGTCTCTGTAATTCGCTTTCCAAGTTCTCGCGGGAGCTAGCCCAAAACGGAGCCCCGCCCCGCGGCCGAGCCGGATTGGCCAGTGCCTTCCGTCTCCTCTATAATTGGCTACCTTCAGGCCAAAGCGGCTCGCGATTGGCTGCGTAGATACTTATAAGTGCCGGCCCAGGTGGCTCCCCTTCTTCTCAGTCCTGCTCTCTCGTGGCGTGGAAGGTGCTGCGTTCTTCAGCCGAAGCTAAGGCCGCGTTTCCCCGGCGACTGGCACCGCACGCCCCCGATTCCTAGCCATGGCCTCCGTCTCCGAGCTCGCCTGCATCTACTCCGCCCTCATCCTGCACGACGACGAAGTCACCGTCACGGTGAGAGGCGCGCGGCGGGAAGGCCTCGTGGCCGGTCCGGCGTGGAGGAGGCCCGCCTGGCTTGTCGCTCCGGGGTGGGCCTGGCGGGAGGAGGGAGACCCCCCAGCGAAGCGTTAAGGTTCTATATATTTGAATTATTTTAAGCGGTGCCTTTATTTCGTTTCCAGGAGGATAAAATCAACGCCCTCATCAAAACGGCGGGAGTGAACGTGGAGCCTTTCTGGCCGGGCCTCTTTGCCAAGGTAAAAAAAAAAAACAGGCAGCTGGAAGATTCCAGTAGTCCTCGCCTTACGACCATAGTGGAAGCCCAAATTTCCCTTGCTAAGTAAGACAACTGCCAAGCGGGTTTTCCCCACTTTTTTACTGACCTTCCTTGCCACGGTCGTTAAGTGAATCGCTACGGCTGTTAAAAGTTAGTAACCTGGTTGTTAAGTGAATCCGCCTTCCCCCTCGACTTTGCTTCTCAGTGGGTCTCTAAACTAACTAATCTAATCTCCTAACTCTCCCTTTTAAATTGGCTTTTAAATTGGCTTTTAAATCGGGTTTTAGATCTCTTTTAGATAAATTTGGATGTTTTAATCTTTGAGCCTAAATTATTTAATCTGTTTTTTAATAGTTTTTAACTTCTATATGTCTTTGTATTTATTTATGGCTGTTCACCGCCCTGAGTCCTTCGGGAGTAGGGCGGTATACAAATATGAAAGAAAAATAAATAAATAAATAAAGGGGGGGGGGAAATCACGTGACACCGGGTACACTGAAACCGTGGTAAGTACATGCCAGTTGCCAAGCATCTGAATTTTGATCACGTGAGCGTGGGGAAGGGGGGAGAATGCAACAGTTACAATGTGAAAAATGATCCAGAGTCACTTTTTTCAGGACCGTTGTAACTTTGAATGGTCGCTAAACAAACGGTTGTAAATCGAGGACTACCTGCACTTTCTTAGCTGCTTTTTGCCAGTGCAAATGCTGGGAATTGGCAGCATTCGTAGGGTGAGCCATAGTTTAAGCATCAGTCTTGCTTCGGAGTAAAAACAGAGGAAAGGGAGGCAACTTGACACATTAATTTCCTGGTGTAAAACTGTCGAAGTGAAGAAACCCCCCAGCCATGGGCTGCCCTTCACTAGTGGCCAACAAGGCGGCTACAGAGCCGCCTGTCCCAACACCAGTTCTACACAGTGGAACCAGATACGGTCCTTGATGTACCTCCAACACTACAGGACACTTTTTAAGCATCTAATCGGAGTTTTTTTCAATTTTTTGTTTTGGAACTTTAAGCCACCCAGAGCCATCTTGTAAAGGGAGATGGATGGCATAAAAATTTAATAAAATAGTTTTGTGATACAAGTGCCTTCATGTGGGCCTCTAGAGCACGGATGTCAAACTTGATCCAGCCCATGGGGTGCTTTTTAATTTTATGATGTTTGTGTGTCTATATTTTTCTTGACTCTACACCGCCTTGAGTCCTACGGGAGAAAGGCGGTATAGAAATATAATAAATAAATTTAATCTGGCCCGCAGGGCCCGCCTGGAAATATCAAAGGACTGGCCCATAGTGCCTCCGCTGGCCAAAACAGGCTGCTGGGGCCTGCGGCCTGTTTTCGGCCTCCAGCAGCACTCTGCTAGCCAAAAATGGGACGCATGGAGGCTCTGCAAGGCCTTCACGCACCCGGTTTTGGCTGGCAGGGTGTTACAAGTGTCCCTCCCATCTCCCCACCGGCCCATGAAGAAATACAATGCTGATCCGGCCCTCAGAAGAAATCCAGTTTGACATCCCTGCTCTAGAGCATGTTACAACTTTCTGTACTGCTTGTTAACCATGGCGACTTTTTTTTTTTTTTTTTTTAATTTGATTTATATGCCGCCCTTCTCCGGAGACTCAGGGAGGCTTACAATGTGTTAAGCAATAGCCTTCATACTTTTGTATATTTATACAAAGTCAGCTTCTTGCCCCCACAAACTGGGTCCTCATTTAACCTCCCTTAGAAAGGATGGAAGGCTGAGTCAACCTTGACTTTTAAGACATGGACTTCAAGTCCCAGAAGCTATGCTGGCTAGGGAATTCTGGGACTTGAACTCCACAAGTGTTTAAAAGTAGCCAAGGCTTGAAAAATGATGTTCCATAAAGGTTATACAATGAAGTTTGGCCCTTCTTTGAGCCGGATGCTAAAGCTTTGGCACTTTCTAATTTGTGACCAGGCTCTAACCAACATTGACATCGGAAGCCTCATCTGCAATGTGGGAGTCGGTGGTGGTGCTCCAGCCGCATCAGCCCCTGCCGGAGGAGGGGCGCCTGCCAGCGGTGCTGCTCCTGGTGAGTAGAATGGCTTCTTTCAAATGCATTTGAGTCCACGTTGGCATTGTCCCTTCTTTTCAGTTATGTGAGGTGGGGTAAAATTTCTCTACTTGGCTTAATCTACACTATTACTTGTTTTGTAGCTGAAGAGAAGAAAGAGGAAGAAAAGAAAGAAGAGTCGGAAGAATCCGACGACGACATGGGCTTCGGTCTTTTTGACTAAGCTGCGTTTTTTTCTACTCTTTATAATAAAGAGAAAAACAACTTCAATTAGAATTGGTCTTTGTTGATGAGTGGTGCAGGTGCAGGTAATGTTTGTGTTTTTCCACTACTACAGATTAGTGCATCAGTTCTTACATATAACATTACTTAGGAGCAATGCTGTCCTGCCTAGGAGGGGAGGGAAGGGAGTTTTCACACCAAATGCATTTTGGGAAGGTGGCTGATGCAAGCTACAATTTATGAAGCTACAATAGCATTGAAAATAAGTGATTTACGACCGCTTTTTTTATGCTTGTGAACCTCAGGAGTTTGACATTTTGGATACTTGCCAACTGACTCATGACGGTTGCAGTGTCCTGGACTTACGTGATCATCTTTTGCGACCTGACAAGCAAAGTCAACGGGAAAGCCAGATTCGTTTAACAACCATGTTACTAACAATGGCAGTGATTCACTTAACTGTGACAAGAAAGGTCGTAAAATGGGGCAAAACTCTGCTCTCTCACTTGGCAACAAATTTTGGGCTCTATTGTGGTTGTAAACCAGAGGATTACCTGTAGGTCTAGAATTTTCTTACCGAAGAGTTTCCCGTCATTTATTTTAAGAAATATAGCAAGGAGACATTAATTGATTAGGGCCACTCAAAAGCACTGGACCCTCGTATCCTTGAAGGGGCTCGCGTTTCTATTGTTCGTTAGACAAACTTAAAAAGTAGAAATTATATTTACATAAGACATTTTTACTCTCTTTAGAGAAGCCGGGCTGTTTGGCACCTCCTTTCTCCTTTTATTGAAGGGTTTGCAATTTTGCATACTTTCAAAAATGCCTCATTCTCTCCCGCGAAGGATACATGCATTCTTAACAGTTCCACAGTCAGGCACTTGATGAGTTGAATTCAAGCAGTTTTAAAATATTTATCATGGCTTTAATCTTTCTTTATAAATTATATAAAAATGGGGGGGGGGGGAAACATGGATGGTTACAGAACTTCTAAATGCAGCTCCATTTCTTACTTAGAAGGAAAACACCTACCCAAAAAAACAAAAAAAAACCCGGGCATGTTATTCTGGTGACAAAAGACGACAGTTCTTGGTTGTGTTCTACAGCTACGTTCTGCCCCAATGTTTTGCATACATCCACGTGGAAGTAGGAAAACAGATGAGGAATTTTTTTTTTTTTAAATTTGCTTTGAAATGAGATACTTTGAAAATATAGCTTTTTTTAATCTCTCTGTAAATTGTGATTAGCATTTTTTTTTTTTTTTTTTTGTGGCATTATTAAGTGTTCCAATAAAAAAGGGGTTCCAGTCAACAGTAGTTCATAACATTGTGGGAAAGAATTCTCAGCCCTCGGGTGTCCCAGAATTCTTCACACGATTTCGGATTTGCAGCTCAAAAAAAAAGAGTTCCTTTGTCAGTTTTCTTTTGTCTGGATGAAAGAAAAAGCAATTCAATCTTTTTAAAATATTTCACATTCTGAATGACGTGAAGAAGAAAAAAACACAACCTGAAAGGGTTTCTAAGATTTTGTTGCCTTGTTTCAGTTTTTGGATTTTTCTTGGCATTGATTTAAAAAAAAAAACAAAATACTTGAGAGAACCAACGAGTTGCCACTCCTGGACTGAGCCGTCCGTTCTCATTCCTGCTGAAAGGCTTTGCTGCCCTTCGCTTATTCGGTAACGATCCTTTTCTCAAAACTCTGCAATGCAAAATCCGTTGATCTCCACACTTCTAGTGAGGCCTGGACTGGCCAAGAGATTTTAGCCTGGCTTGGTCGATAACATCCAATAAGTTTTTGGCATCTACGGCGAGGGCGTGAGCTGCGGTCAGCATCTGCTTCTTGTATTCTTGCTGCAAACTAGTCATAACGTACTGCTGAGCCAGCTTCATCTTGTTAATCAATTCCGCCAGGTCAGAATTCAACAGTTTCTGAGCCATCTCGATCTGAAAGAGGAGGAGAGTGCAGAGTAAGAAGCTGTATCAAAATACATCTATAACCGTGATGGCGAACTTATGGCGCACATGCCCGAAGTGGAACACACACCGGAAACCCAAAAACCAGCTGGCTGGTGCAGATGCATGTGCTGGCCAGCTGGTCTGGTTTCTGGCGCACACATGCATGCTGCCAGCTGGTCTTTGTGAGTGTCGGAGCACCGGAAACCTGAAGACCAGCTGATTGGCGTGCATCCGTGTGCTGGAAACGTGCGCCGGCCAGCTGGTCTTTGGGCTTCTGGTGCTCCGGCGTGTGCATGCGCACGTTCCGGTTTGGGCGCTTGATGTCGAAAAGGTTCGCCAAATTTAAAGCAAAATGAAAGCAGGAAAAAAGGTCACTAAATTAATCCCAAATGAATAAAGGCCAGGATGAGATAAGCATCTGAGCTTGGTAGTTTTCTTCCAGACGTTGCATTACCCAAAGCACCTTCTCTGCAAACCTCACTCTTCTTGTGCTGATGATGTTACTTAGTTGGCTAATAAAACCTCTGCAAGGAAACCAGGCTCAGCACCAAGGACTCCTCATTTCAACCCTGAGCTATAAACGTCCCAAAGATGCTTTTTTTCAAGAGGCAACTGGACTTTCTTGGTTTTTCTTCACTTCGCATCCGAGAAGCTTCTTCAGTTCTGACTGGATGATGGGGAATGTCCAAAATGTGGACTGCTGGTTTGAAAGAGGGATCAAAGAGGCCACTTATATCAAAATTGAACAGAATCTCTCAACAGAGGGGGAGGGATACGGTATCTCTCCAGTCAACAACACAGTCCTTTCAGCAGTTCCAAGAAGGCTCCACACTCATTTTCACCACTCAAGTGACCCTGAGGACACAGATAAACCTCCAAGTGGCCTCAACAACTCTTTTAAAAAGGATGCAAATGACCATCTGTCTGCAAGGCGTATCAATCCTTCCATTCCTGACTATCCAGTCAGAGCTGAAGAAGCTCCTCTGATAAGAAGTGAAACATCTTCAAAGAAAAAAACTCCAGTCGCCTCCTGAAAAAGCACCTTTGGGACAATTGGAAGGAGATGTTTAACTCAGATGTTTGACTTCAGAAAAGTCAACCAAGGTGAGATATGATGGCATTCTTCAAAACCCAGAAACCATCTCATAGAAAGTCAAGATACGCACCTTCTTATTCCAGAGGGCAGAACATGGAATAATGGGTTTAAGTCACAAAAGAAGATTCGGACTTCTCTTGCATGGAAGGAACAAAATGGAGTTTGTGTATCCCATCACTTGGCCTGCCACCAAACAGCATCATGAACATAAATCTTGTGCAAATCCTCTGCAATGATTGTCAACCTCAGCAACTTGAGGATGCGTGGACTTCAACTCCCAGAATTCCCCAGGCACTTCATGCATCTCAAGATTGCTGAGGTTGAGAAACACTCTGCTAGTTCTTGAAAGTATTAATGAACACTGGTACTGAATTTTTCTTATCTCTGGAATTTTCTAAAAAAACCCAAAATCCTTTGGATTGTGATAAGAATTCAAGTGGCAGGCTCAACTTAATTGACGTGATTTAATGATTTACTGTTTGTCTTGGAAGTGAGCAGAGTAGAGGGTTGTGTATTGTGTGTCTGTGTATGTAATATTTGTTTGCACACATATGGTAAATAAATTGGGCTTTCTCTCGCATCAGTCACCCTCTCTCCTTTGGGGTCCACTTACAAATCCTCTTATCTTCTTAGCTGCAGAGTATTTGAACTGCCATCAAATGAAGCCGCTCATTTTTACCAATTTACACAACCACAAACTTGGCATCATCATTATTATTATTTTTGGTTCTTAAATTCTTTACCTTTATTCCAGCCTAAAATCTAATGAACTGGCTGACATGTTAGTAGAAAATAAAGCAAAGCCCAAACACTTTAGCATTTAAATAAAATCATGGCAGGAAGAAAGATTTAAAAAGGGAAAAAAGGGCTCATACCTCTCTGTGAGTGCTTGCTGGGAGGACCAGAATGGTTTCATCAACTGTTGCCAATAAAGTTCGCAAGGCCAAGCCCACCTCCTACCACAAGACAATGAAACATCATTAAATCAGATTGAGCAGCGTCATTCTGACAAAAACACAAGACACAAATCTGCATCCTTCTCCAAAGTGCATAAAGCAAATACAAATCGGTATATTTCAAACGCTCTGCAACATCTAACCTACGGCAGATTTTTAAATTTAATTGAATTAATTCAATTTATATGCCGCCTTTCTCCAAAGACTCAGGGCGGCTCAGATCCCCCAACATAGCGACTCTGAGATATTTTGGATTACAATTCCACGGTTTCCAGCTGGGGCAATGGGGAGGATATATACAGCTTTCTCCAGTAATGAGATAAAATTATCAGCATACAAAGCTAAACCTTGAAAACCCCACGTTCCTGGAGATTAGAGCATAGAAGAACTTGCTTAAGTCCCACACGGAGATAACGTCATTGTATAATAAACATCATCCAAACCCCAAATCTATCTCATTTAAAGCGGAAAAATGTGTCATTCTCTCCGTCCATCTGGAGCAACTAAACAAATCATTTTTTATTCAGCACTGGATGGACCCCGGATTGAAGATAAACTGCACTCCATATTTTTTAGTAATAATACGAACATGACATACAACTGTACAGGTTCCTGCCCTGATGCTTGTAAATTTGTTACTACTTTTTGCAAACATGGCAAACGCCAGGGTCGTTAAGTAAGCCCATTGTTATGTGTGGTGCAGCAGAACTGTTAGAAAACTCACATAATCATGGGCCACAGCAAATGGCGGCAAATACAGCCATATTTCCAAGCACCTGGGAGTGGTTGCTGTTGGAACTACAGAACTGGGTAATAACTCTCTAAGTGACCAATCATAAGTCAAGGACTCTGTGTGCGCATTTATATGGACTCTTCTGACCTTAGCTGAAGATAAACTCTAAAGTGTGTGTGTGTGTGTGTGTATCGGGTGAAATGCTCCTGGTTCGGACCGGATCGCCCTATCCGGTAGCGATGGAGGCGGGTGGTTCGGAGAACCGGTAGCAAAAATCCCAGGCCCCCCCCCAATGCCCAGCTGAGCCGCATGAACAACAGAGGCTTTTTTTTTTTTACTTTTTAAAGAATTTTTTTTGTCGGAAGAGGTTGTAGAAAAAATGCTTTGAAAAGTTAAAAAAAAAAAAGCCTCTGTTGTTCATGCGGCTCAGCTGGGATAGTCAGAGGCTTTTCAAAGCATTAGAAAAAATGCTTTGAAAAGTTTAAAAAAACAAAAAGTTGGCCACGCCCACCGTCACATTTATTTATTTATTTATTTATTTATTTATTTATTTATTTATTTATTATATTTCTATACCACCTTTCTCCCGTAGGACTCAAGGGGGTGTACAGTCAAGAAAAATATAGATACCCAAACATCGTAAAATTGCTAATTAAAATTATTATTATAACACAGTTTGGCCCAATTAAATAGAACCTAAAATTAGATAACATTTTAAAAACATTCACATGTTCATATGTTTAGCCCCGCTTGTTGGAACATTTCAGGGTTTTGAGGGCACGGCGGAAAGCACGGAGATCAGGGATATTCCGTATCTCCGGGGGCAGTTCATTCCAAAGGGTTGGAGCCCTCACAGAGAAGGCCCTCCCCCTGGGAGTCGCCAGTCGGCATAATTTGACTGACGGTACCCTGAGTAGTCCCTCCCTGTGAGAACGAACTGGTCGGTGGGAGGCTATTGGTGGCAAAAGACATTAACCCCCCCCACACACACACACACGCCACGCCCACAGAACCGGTAATAATAAATTTTACATTTCACCCCTGGTATGTAAGTATGTATATAAATAAATATGTGTGTGTGTGTGTGTGTGTGTGTGTGTGTGTGTGTGTGTGTGTGTGTATGTAGCAGTGGTGGGTTGCTCCCGGTTCTGACCGGTTCTATAGAACCGGTAGTAAAATTGGCAGGAGGCTCCACCCACCCACCCGGATGTCATAAATGATGATCTGCGCATGCGCGTGGCCCCGTTGCAAACCGGTAGTAAAGGTAAGGAGAACCCACCCGATATGTATGTCTATATGTATATGTATGTGTATGTGTGTGTGTGTGTATGTATATATATATATATATTTACACACACACACATCTTTATAGTTTACCTTCAGCTAAGATCAGAAGAGCCCAGTGACAGCTTTTCCAAAATCCAATCCCTACTATGATGCTCAAAGGCCATTTAAGAGGTAAAAAAATTGCTACGTCCATAAGGTTCTGACGACGATTCCTAGCAAGCAGTCCGACTCGGCTTTAGTAGTAGGATAACTGTATTTGGGTCGATGGAATCGAGGGGCTTAAGAGATTTACTGTAATCTTAGCTTGTTTAGTTGCAAATAAATATGAGTATAATTCTGAAGACATGGGTGAAAAGAGAGTTGAAGCCACCAACAGGAAATGGCTGGACTTTCTGAATCCTGGAGGGAAAAACTAGGGCTCCCTATTCGTTGGGGAACACACCTCAGCCAGCATGGCCCGTAATGAGGGATGCTGCCCGCTCCACTCTCCATCTGCAATGTGACCTAACCAATGGCTTAGGACCTGGTTATCTATGGGACCGCCTACTACCACCAATAGCCTCCCACCGGCTGGTACTCTCTCATAGAGAGGGGCTCCTCCGGGTGCCGTCGGCCAAACAATGTCGACTGGCGGCCCCCAGGGGGAGAGCCTTCTCTGTGGGGGCACCTACTAACTGGAACGAGCTCCCCCCGGAGATACGGAGGATCCCGGATCTGCGCACCTTCCGCCGCGCTCTCAAGACCTTTTTATTCCAGGCGGGCCTGGCCTAATCTTTTTCCCCTTTTTCTCTTTTAATACGTAAATTTAAATTCTGTTTTTAAACGATTGGGGTGTTTTAAATCTGTCTGGGCCAAATTTGTTTAATTCGGTTTTATTCTGTTTTTTAAATTTTGTATTTATGTATTTTTATTGTTTGGCTGTTCACCACCTTGAGTCCTTCGGGAGTAGGGCGGTATATAAATCAAATAAAGACTAAGACTAAAAGACTAATTGTAATAGACAGTTGCTATGAATAGCAACCAATCTTAAATCAAGGTCGTTAAAAGGGTTGCAGTAGGATGCGCATCCAAAATGTTTCTTGAAACCCATGAGTATCTGCGCTATCTTGGGCGGTGTGCTATCTTACCTTCACCATGGGGACGTACTCCTCGGGTGGTGCCGGCTGGATTTTGCTAGACATTTCTATAACCGCCTTTACCAGGCCGGTGACGTTCTCGTACACTTTATCGTTTGAGCGGTCCAAGTTGGCCGTTGGAGGAGGGCTGATCTCCTGGGGCTGAATCTGGAAGAAAAGAAGAGCGTGGATTCCCCACCAGGTGGCGCTAGAATACTTCAGAAGATCTTTTTCCTCCTGGACTTCACCAGCCATGAAGCCCTGGGAGCCTCACAGAGGCTCCTCCACATGGGGAACCAGGACAAAAGAGAGCAGACATTCAGTAGTTTTATCGCACGCTGGGACCTCAACAACGGGCAGGATGTTGGTTTAGCCTTTTGGTTATTTATGGTTTCCAAACCCCTGAAAATAAGATTTGATTTGACTTTCCTATTTTGGGATCTGTCGTTGCGATGTGCACCAAAGGGGATGGAGTTAAAATTGCTCCAACTTTGCCTACTTCCCGAACGCCATCGCTCTGCTCAACAACTCATTCCCACAACTCTGTCAAATAATCTACTAAGACTGTATTACTATTCTTCTTCTCTTCCTTACTAGTATCTCTCCCTTCCCACTTATTACTATATCCATGTTGCTTGTATCTTTCAATTTATATTGTTTTTATTTGTTTCCTAGACGATTTGATAGCTTATAAATAACCTTGGCTATCACTAAGCGTTCTATCTTTTTATTCTTGATGAATGTATTTTTATCCTCCTTATATACACTAAGAGCATAAGACAAATTCCTTGTGTGTCCAATCATACTTGGCCAATAAAGAATTCTGTTCTGTTCTGTTCTGTTTTATTCTGTTCTGTTCTGTTCTGTTCTGTTCTATTCTATTCTATTCTATTCTATTCTATTCTATTCTATTCTATCCTATTCTATTCTATTCTACTCTACTCTACTCTACTCTACTCTACTCTACTCTACTCTACTCTACTCTACTCTACTCTACTCTACTCTACTCTACTCTAGTCTACTCTACTCTCCTCTCCTCTCCTCTCCTCTCCTCTCCCTCTCCTCTCGTCCCGTCTCGTCTAGTCTATTATGGAATTAGGTGAGCATTCTCTGGTAAGTAGAACAAATCCACTCCTTTTATAACTCTTTCAACAAAGTTAAATTTTGTTCCACTAGATTTCCACCTGCACTTTTAGGTGTCAAATGTGGAATCCAGGTAAAAGGTGATTAATGAGGGACGGAGCTTTGTTCTCCGAGCTTGAGAGTTGGTTTCCAAACGTTTCATTACCAGGCTAGGTTACATATTCAGTGCAGCATAGGCGATGTCTATGCCTGTGTTCTTCTGTTTATAAGGGCTTTGTGTGATCGATAGGTCTTGGAATAGAATAGGAGAGTTGGAAGGGACCTTGCACAAGTCTTAAAGGGACCAAGGCTGGACATCCCAGGTTTCTGAATCAGTGTCACCTTGAGAAGACAAGCCGGAGCAAGTATGGACTGCCGTGACAGCATTCATTGTGTGCAGACAGAATGTTCCCACCCCAAATTCAGACACTCAATTCCTTCTTTCGCCTCCAGAGTAACAGCCTGTTCCAGACAAATGACGGGACGGAAACGGGGTTCATCCTCAGAAGGGTTTGGAGAAATCTGACCAGATTAAAGTCAAGGTTAAGAACGGCCCTCACTTTAATACGCTGGAGAAGGCAAGGTGGACAGGTGTTGCCACGGAGTTTTGGAGATCCCGTAAATCATGGTCATGTGACAGCAGGGCGCTGAAAATGGTACTTGGTACCTGTTGGGCACTTGCTGAGCGCCCAAAATTGCAGTCACATGATTGCAAAGGGGGTGAGCAGATGTAAGAACTTCTAATTCAGGATATAAGTAGCCTTTTTAGCATTTGTCGTAACTCTGGAACAGTCGCAAGTCGAGGACTACTTGTAATTCCCTGCCAGCGAGAGCAGGAACATTTAACAGTAGAATATACCTTGAGATTTGTCTATGGAGATTCTCAGTCACCCAGGTCATGGTTGTCCCAAAGGTGCTTTTTTTCAGGAGGCAACTGGAGTTTCTTGTTTTTTCTTTGAAGATGTTTCACTCCTCACCCAAGGAGCTTCTTCAGATCTAACTAGATGGTGGCGAATGGAAGGATTGATACTCCTTGCAGACAGCTGGTCATTTGCATCCTTTGAGAGCAGTGTTGGTGAACCTTTTTGGCACCGAGTGCCGAAATGGGAGCGTGTGCGGGAAACCGGAAGAGCAGCCTTCCCGGTGCGCATGTGCGTGCTGGGAAGATGATCTTCCGGTTTCTGGCACACATGCATGTGCGAAGACCAGGCAGCGGTGTGTATGTGCATGCCGGAAACTGGAAGATCATCTTCCCAGCACGCGCATGTGCATCGGGCGGCTGCTCTTCCAGTTCCCATACACATGAAGACCAACTGGCCGGCATGCCGGAACCTGGATGAGCAAGGGGCGATAGCTCTGTGTGCCATTTCCGGTTTTTCAGGAAGGCAACTGGACTTTCTGGTTTTTCTTTGAAAGATGACTGAGAATCTCCATAGAGTTTTAGCCATGGTGTGGGAATGGATTTCCAGAGAAAAATTGTAGACTACAGAAACCATTTGCACCACTCAGGTGACCCTGAGGACACAGACAAATCTCCAAGTGGCCTCAATGACCCTCTAAAAGGATGCAAATGACCAGCTGTCTGCAAGGAATAACAATCCTTCCATTCCCCACCATCCAGTCAGAGCTGAAGAAGCTTCTTGGGATGAGAAGCGAAATGTCTTCAAAGAAAAAACAAAGTCCAGTTTAAAGGGAAACACTTTAACTTTCAAGGTTCCCGAAGAGACCCTGGTTCCTGACTGCTTAAGGTCGGGACGGTTTCAGCCGAAGCAAGGGCACCTGCCAAGATTTTTGTGAAATGCCACAAACCGCCCCCACCCTCCCATCGGCATTCATGCAATGTGTCCCTCGCCCCACCGCAGAGAAGGAAGGAGAGAGAAAGAGTTCTTACCCGCCATGGCTAGTGTTGAGCAGAGATTGAGGAGGAATTAAAGACATTTACCACGAAAAAAAGGAGGAAAAGACAAAAGACAATGTTAATAAAACTGCAGCAAAACAAAACAAAACAAAACAACAGGAAAGAACAAAAATACAAGCGACAGCAAAAGAGATCGGTTAAACCCCACCCGGCCCCACCCCAAATGCCTCCAGCCAGGCCCTGTGCATTTAGCTCCCGACCCCCCGACCCCCCCTTTTTTTTAAGAAGAGGTTCTGTGCCATGCACCCCCCCTCTCCCAAGCTCAGAGACATGCAGAGAGCAGTCATGGGCAAGCATATCCGGCAAGAAGCAAAGGGACAAACAGCCAGTAGGAGCCTTTTTGAAAAGAGGGAAGTTCTGGGCATCTGCTGGACCCCCAAAAATCTCTGCAGAAAAGCTCCCGCAGAGGAAATGTCCACCTTGATTTATTGGGGGGGGGGGGGATTGCTCAATAGAAGGAAATATTGAGTCATCTAATTGCTATGCTTCTGTTTCTTCAAATTTTTGGTCGAAATTCTAGCGTGAGGGATGGTTTCGAGGCCACCAACCATCCAAATGCTCGGGTTTCCTAGTGCTGGCACCAGACTTCATTTGCTCAGCTCAATGCATTTTTTTTTTAAATAAAAAAATTTACCCCTTAATTTCTGAAATCAACACAATTGCACCACAAACCCGGTGTTATTTGGGTAATGGTTGGCTGGTTGTTCTCTTGGCAAAGGTTGTAGGGGGAAGAGATCCTTCGACCAGCCAAAACATCAGGAGTTTTTATGAAGCTGACAAATGAGAGGTGATGATTTTAGAATAGAAATAGAATAACTGAGTTGGAAGGGACCTTGGAGGTCTTCTAGTCCAACCCCCTGCTCAGGCAGGAAACCCTACACCACTTCAGACAAATGGTTGTCCAACATCTTCTTAAAAGACTCCAGTGTTGGAGCATCCGCAACTTCTGGAGGCAAGTTGTTCCCCTGGTTAATTGTTCTCACTGTCAGGAAATTTCTCCTTAGTTCTAGGTTGCTTCTCTCCTTGATTAGTTTCCACCCATTGCTTCTTGTCCTACCCTCAGGTGCTTTGGAGAATAGCTTGACTCCCTCTTCTTTGGGGCAGCCCCTGAGATATTGGAACGCTCCTATCATGTCTCCCCTGGTCCTTCTTTTCATCAAACTAGACATACCCAGTTCCTGCAACCGTTCTTCATATGTTTTAACCTCCAGTCCCCTAATCATCTTTGTTGCTCTTCTCTGCACTCTTTCTAGAGTCTCCACATCTTTTTTACATCGTGGCGACCAAAACTGGATGCAGGATTCCAAGTGTGGCCTTACCAAGGCCTTATAAAGAGGTATTAACACTTCACGTGATCTTGATTCTATCCCTCTGTTTATGCAGCCTATTTTGAATATAGGTACTCCTCGACTTACAACAGTTCATTTAGTTGATCGTTCAAAGTTACAATGGCATTGAAAAAAAGTGACTAACGAATGTTTTTTCACACTTACGACCTTTGCAATAGCCCCATGACCATGTGATCAAAACTCAAGAGGCTTGGCAACAGACTCATACTTATGACCTTGGCTTTGTCCCAAGGTTCACGTGATCCCCTTTTGCAATCTTTCGACAAGCAAAGTCAATGGGGAAGACAGAGTCCCTTAACAACTGGGTTACTAACTTATCCACTGCGGTGATTCACTTAACAAGCGTGGCAAGAAAAATGGGGCAAAACTCACTTAACAAATGTCTCACTTAACCACAGAAATGTTGGGCTCAATTGGGGTCGTAAGTCGAGGACTATCTGTAAAAGCTGCCTGAAAAGGTAGGACCAGATTCCTTCTGACTATTGGCCCACTGTGGTTTTTAAGATGCCCAGAGCTGCTTGATTCTCCATGTTCGCCTGTGCATCCGGTTCCACATTCATTCAACTTAAAAAGCTGCATAACATTTAGAAGATTTGAACCTCTCGCTGTGGAAGAATATGGAAGAATGCAAACCAGATTTTTTTTTTTTTTTTTTTTTTGGCCTTTGGTCTAGCAGCAACAGTTTTTGATGAACTAAACATTCCAGGAAAAAAAAAGTTTCCGTTTAGCTTGGCAGATTTTGGAAAAAAAACATTTTTCTGTTAAAACAGATGGTTTTAGGTATTCCCAAGGAGGAGGACCTAGAAAATCCAGAATAAAAAAAAAAAACGAGAAGGAAAAAGCCGCACGATTTCATGGCTTCTCTTAAAAGACGTCGTTTTTAAGCCTCACGATCACAAATCCGAAGAGATCGTTTGGAGTCCTAGGGAGGGCTTGTATTCTACAGCAGGGCCTTTTATTCTCTTTTCTCCCTTATTTTAAAGCCACTTCTATAGGAACTTCAGATTTCAACTCGAACTTTGTAGTATCGGTCTTTCTGCAGAGAAACTAGCAGGGTTCATTTCCCTCAGGAGTTTCTGAGCACCAAGAAAGCCTCCGAGCATTCAGAGTAAGGATGTCCAACCTTGGCAATTTTGAAACTTGTGGACTTCAACTCCCAGAATTCCTCAGCCAGCCGTGCTGGCTGGAGAATTCTGGGAGTTGAGGTCCACAAATCTTAACAGTTGCCATGGCTGGACACCCCTGATTCAGAGAGAGAAAATGGTGCAGCCCTATTTTCTCTTTACCAATTTTCTTTGTCAATTGTTTCAACTGAATTCCACAGATGGGAATAAACTGGGCCATCCCTGAAAGTTTCCATCTTGGAAACTCTAAAATAGATTTCCCTTAATGAGAATTTCTATTTCCAGCCTTCAATGAGAACAGAACTCTTGGGAAAGACTAGGGTGCTGGAATCAGAAGCTTATTTTCGTTTGAGAAAATAAACTTACAAGGGATTTTTTTTTAATCCCGTTTGACCTTGAAGTCTTAGGAAGCCATCCTGCTGCAGTGCTCCAGCCTAAATGCTGCACTCATGCTTATCTCTATAGAGAGAAGTCCCCAAAATTCATGCTCATACTGTGGGTGCCATTGAAGGCTGGTTGGTGCAGAGTACCTCTCTAAGGCAGAGGTCCCCCAATTCCCAGGCTTAGGATCGGTACCGGTCCATGGCCTGTTAGGAACCGTCCCCTGCAGATGGAGGTGAGCAAGAGGCGAGCAAAACTGCACACACGCGGGATCTAGGTTGCTCATACTTCCCCCTCTCCTGGTCCGTGGAAAAAAAATTGTCTTCCACAAAACCGGTCCCTGGTGCCAAAGAAGTTGGGAACCCCTGCTCTAAGAAACAGTTTCAAAGGCTAGGCAATAAAAAAAAATAAAAACCAGTTAATTGTAGCTAAATTAGAAGAGGTAACCTGCTGTGGTCCTTTTAGTCGTAAACAGGGCAGAGATAAGGAGCAGGATGGCAGGCTTGGGAGTAAGTTTGTGGGTAGTGCCAAGAGCCAAGCAAACCTCATGGGGTAGTGGCAGCAAGTTCCTAGTCGGGACTGAGCGAGGAAGAAGACTGGGGGAGTTTTAGTCCCAACCATTTCCAAGCCATGTCTGGAAAAGCAAGAAGCCCTGGATTTCAGGCCTCTCAGCTGGGGCTGGGGCAGCCTGTACATAGTAGAAGACGTCCTTGGGGAAGACTGCAGCTCCTTCAGCTGACTGCTAGTTCAGCAGATCAGCGGATCAAATCTCACCGGCTCAAGGTTGACTCAGCCTTCCATCCTTCCGAGGTCGGTAAAATGAGGACCCAGATTGCTAGGGGGCAATATGCTATTTAGTATACTGTCTTTGGTGTAAGCCGTCCAGAGTCCTCGGAGAGTGGGCGGCATAGAAATATGACTAATAAAATAAATAAATAAATAAAGACCCGACTAAAAGGCTGGAACAGCTGGATGAGCAGGAAGAATTCCTGGGGTGATGGGACGAGACAATGCAGAACGCATACAGGGTGAGGCTTGGGGCTTCCTAATGGTGATGCCAACGGAGCCACCATTTTATGGCTCCAAATGCTTTTTAAGTATCTGATCATCCCATACATAACAGATTTTAGTTCTGGGGAATTTTGGAGTTGGGAGGCCACACATCTTAAAGTTGAGGTTGAGAAAACCCTCTTCGACATGAGTAACAGCACCCTATCCAACTTGACCGGAGCCTAGATGACTAACGAACAAGTCTTCCAAGAGATGTTGTACCTTAACCCCTTCGTTGTAGCTGTCCACGGGGCTGTTGAGGCTGGCAAGGCTGCCCAAGTGGCTGGGAGCTCCAGGGCGTGGTGGCTTTTTGGGTGGGGCAGCATGATCTAGGAAGAAAAGAGGTTGGGTCTGATAAGGCCGAGACTGCAGGAGAGAACCAGGTGGAACCCCAGGGAGGAGGGGGTCAAACATGTCATCAGTCTTGAGTACCTTCGCGCCCACAAGAGATCTAAGTCTGGCCCACCTTGAATTCCTTTGACTCTTTATCTATCGCCAATTCGCTTTGACCGCTAGTAGCTCAGATTCTTGTAGAGAACTTTTGTATGCAATAAACATATATACTCATTTGAACTGCCTGGATTTCCTGATTTCCTGTGCTTGGCAGAGACTTTGGGCATCAGATTCACTGAACCCCCAAGCAAGGGTGGTAGAAGAGAGTCAACCTTCATTGATGCCCACTTCCACATGGAATCATCAAGGCCCATGGAATCATCAAGGAAGGAAGGACTCTCTCATACTGTAACCAAGCATAGGTATCTTGCCCCTGAGCATCTCTTTCAGATTTCTTAACATCTCCAAAATTAAAGCCATGTAGAGACTTAATATTTTATTAAAATGCCCCTTTGAAGAGTTGTGGTTAGTGAAATGGACAGCAAGGGAAAGGGGGGGAGGGAAGAAGAGGAGAGGGGAGGGGAAGGGAGTGGAGTGGAAGGGAGGGAGGGAGGGAGGGAGGAAGGAAGGAAGGAAGGAAGGAAGGAAGGAAGGAAGGAAGGAAGGAAGGAAGGAAGGATCCTCTAATCATCACTGGCTGGAGGTGGAAGACTCGAAAACTCGTCTGTTACTCCTGACCGTCATTAAATGAACTTGCACCATTTAACTGTTCCGCTTCTTAAAATGGTGTCTACCTCTTCACCATAACTTCAAACTCAATTTCCCAAAAAGGAAAAGAAAGGGAGGAAGGAGAGACTAAAAATTTACATTTTGACTTACATACCTGGTTTGCCCACAGGCTGGTAAATGTGCTGGTTAGAAGCCTGCAAAAAATTAAAATGAATCGAATTAACCATGCAAAAAGTTTATAAACAACCCAACCCCTTTCCAGCTAATCCCCCACAACAAATATCCAGCTTTTTTGACATCCTTGCCTCCTCCCATTGCTCTTCAGTTTCAGAGAAAAGCACGTTTTTATACATAATTTATACATTTATCTCTTTTTTTTCATAAGAGACAACCCGTTCTTTCATATCATAACCTATCTGTGTTGTCCTGATATATCCTGTCTATCATTACTCAAACAAAATGGCATATTTATAACAACCTCCGTCCAAAAATACCAAAGACTTTTAAGATGAATCATAGGTAATAGTTGGGAAAGCTCTTATCCCATATTGTTTAACAGATTTTTCATAGTAATTACAGCTCAGTCGTACAACAAAACAGAAGTCAACAAACAAACCCAGGATTATTTATTTGCAATGCTTTGTAGCAGAACTGAAATCTTATCGTATGTTTAAAACATGTCTTTGGCGATTCTCAATCGTCAGTTCTGAAGAAACTTCTTGGGTGAGAAGCGAAACATTTTCAAAGAAAAACCTAAGAAAGTCCAGTTGCCTTTTGGGGAAAAAAACACCTTTGGGATTTTTAAAATATGTTGCCAAACCAAATAAAAATTTGTTCTAGCATTGATTAACAAGGAGAATGACACTTATGAGTTACTGATGATGGCTTAATTCTTGGGAAAGCATGCTTGTGTTTCATCTTTATAAAAAGCATATTAGCAGAGTTAAATGTTTGCCTTTGCTAACGGCTAATTGCTGTTGGGAAAAGCAAGGCCAAACAAACCCAGCATTAGGCATTTTTATTGCAAAAATAAAGCAACCTGTGATGCAGAAAACGAGCTCCTTAAATCTAGAGCCTTGAGTCCATCAGAGGAAAGTACTAGAGGAATGGATATTCACATTTTTAGAAACCGGGTCTCAAAATATAAACAAATGAATAAATGGCTGGCTTGATCCCACTGTTTTGGGTTAAATTTTAATTGATTTTAAATTGGGTTTGTTTTAAATCGCGGCCAAAAATATTTAATCATTTTAAACTGTTTTTAAATTTTGTATGTTCTGTTTTTATTTTGGCTGTTCACCGCCCTGAGTCCTATTGGAGAAGGGCGGTATATAAATTGAAACAAATAAATAAATAAATAAAATAAATAAATAAAATAAATAAATATTTCAAATAAAGGCCAAGTTAGAAACTGCCTGCACAAATTGCTTCTGTGGGTTAATGAAAAATAATTCATTGTGCTGATTTGTTCAACACAGCTGTTTAGCTGTTCTATTAGCACTCATAATTAATTCTCAAGAGTATATGTGGGCTTTTTAAAAAAAACCCATAACCAATGGGACAGAGGAGCTATCCACAGAAGGGATAAAATAATTCAAAGTTTGAAAGTGACAATCTAGATAGAATGTTTTGAGGACCTATTTCCCTATTGAATCACTGCAAACTTCAAGTCACACATCCCAAGTCAGCTCTCTCAGCATTTTGAACCAAGAAAGAGGGGGGGGGAAATAAACTTGCAAGAGCACTTCCCATAAAGGTTCCCAGGAATGCTTTCCCAAGAATTGAACAGGCCACAAGTGGCATCAGAGCCAGTGTGATGGTTGTGACAGTGGTAGAACTGCAGGCCTCCCCATCTAGGACACCTCAAACTTTCAAAGAAAAGGTGGGACAGGATGCCAACGGATAACAGCAACAACATGTGCAAATGCTACTGCCAAAAATTCAGAAAATAATATCACGCAGGAGGTGTGAATCAGGCAAAACCTTTTCTTGTACCGCTGCTGTGCTTTATTCACCAGATTTTACCAGAGTTCCTGGCAATGTTATATATTCTGCTTCCAACTCTCTTGTGTTTCTCCCTCTGCTTCCTTCTTCCTCCCCGCCCCTCTCTCATACATACACACATTTAGAAGGAGAAAATTCACTATTTTTTTTTTTTTAAACCAGTAATTCTTGGGATTGGCCGACTGAAAGCATCTCATTTTGCTTCCAGTTTTTGAACACGCTTTAGCCTTGAATGAAGCCCCCTCTACATTCTGGCACCTTTGTGGGGGTTTGTGCCCCATGTTTTACAACTAAATACCGTTTTGTTCTGGAGAGCTCTGTCCTCTGCATGTGGTGTAGCCCGTCCACTTAAGCAGTGTCACGAGGGACGGTCCCCGTGGTTCTTCACAATGGATAGTTCCTTGCCAGCATTCCTATCTGAAGCACACACCTGGCCAGGTTTCACCAGAGAAACCCCACCCCTCTGGCAATACACTACATGTATGAAACATACTAGGACAGGGGTCTCCAACCTTGGCAACTTTAAGCCCGGCGGACTTCAACTCCCAGAATTCCCCAGCCAGCAAAGCCAAGCTTAAAGTTGCCAAGGTTGCAGACCCCTGCACTAGGACACCCAGCAAACATTAAGATCCTGCTCAGTGGTGGGTTGCCCCCGGTTCGGTCCGGTTCTTGCGAACCGGTAGTAAAACCAGGGGGAAGCTCCGCCCACCCGGATGTCATCATAGACGAACTGCGCATGCACAGAAGCTCGGGGCGCGCACGATCCCATTGCAAACTGGTAGTAAAGGTAAGTAGAAGCCACCCCTGCTCCTGCTACCTAGGACTGTTTCTTTTCGAGAGCCTTCCTAGGTATAGAAGTTTAATTAATTAATTAATTAATTAATTAATTAATTAATAAAACGCCAGAGATCTGCTTAGCATTATCTACAGGCAGTCCTCGATTTACAACAGTTCATTTAGTGACCGTTCAAAGTTAAAACGGCACTGACCAAAGTGACTTATGACCGTTTTTCACACTTACAACCGTTGCAGCCTCCCCAGGGTCACATGAACAAAATTCGGGTGCTTGGCAGCCGACTCGTGTTTATGACAGCTGCCGTGTGCCAGGGATCATGTGATCCCCTTTTGGGGACTTCTGACAAGAGGGAAGCCAGGTTCCCTTAACAACCGTGTGACTAACTTTAACAACTGCAACGAATCACTTAACAACTATGGCACAAAAGGTTATAAAATGGGGCAAAATTCACTTCACTTGTGTTTCACTTAGCAACAAAAAAAATTTGAGCTCAACTGTGGTCGTTAAGTCTGTACTAACAAAACAAATGTTCATTATCATCATAGACCAGCATAATTATCTACTAACAAACCATGGCTTGCCTGCTAAAACAAGCTACCTGCACAGAGCCAAAGCCAGAAGATTTTCTTCACTTTCCTTCCAATCCCTTAAAATTGAGCAAGCCACAAAATGCGTGCCTCGGATCCCCAACATCGGAAAGGGATTCTATTTGGCCTTTCTGAACAGCCCACTGGGGAATATATCAGCAACACGCGATCTTCCTAATCCATCGATGAGACCCAAAAGCAATTTTATTTGATTAAAAATAACAGCAAGGAAAGAACGCATCAGTTCCAGAGACAGCATGAAAACAAGTTACTCCCGGTGAGTTGTGGGGAACAGCCGAGCATCCGGAAGCGTTTCGGGGAAATATAATCCTATTTCTGAAGGGAATTGGAATTCATCTCCTGAAAGCAGATGGGAAGGGGAAGCTCATCCCCCATGGAGAAAAATCAAAAGCAGCAAAGACTACTCTACGCACAGAAATGGAAGGTCACCTCGATCCCCACAATGGATGAATGGCTATAAAAACTGATGGAGTTAGCAGAGATGGCCAAATTGACTGCTTTGATTAAAGAAACGAAAAAGACAAATACTTTCATTTCTACTTGGAAACAGCTTCTGGCCTTTGTGCTTGAGGTGGGAGGAAAAAATGAAACTTTGATTTCGGGTTTTACCGATTAGATAAAATTTGTTGTTATAGAAACGGCTGGTTTCTATCATTATGTAAAAGTAAAAAGTTGAGGGTAGATCTTAACGCAGTGTTTCTCAACCTTGGAAGCTTGAAGGTGGGTGGACTTCAACTCCCAGAAGGCTGGGGGATTCTGGGAGTTGAAGTCCACCCATCTTCAAGCTACCAAGGTTGAGAAACACTGTCTTAACGCCTTATTTTACTGCACCAAAGGAGTTGGAAGTCAGTGCCTTTTTCTCTCTCTCCCTCTCTCTCTTTTTTCCTTTGCTTTCCCCCACTATCCACTTCCCCCTTTTTCCTTCTCTAATTTCCCTAATATATTTGCTTTTGTATTCTTTTTGCATGCCATATTATAAATGAATAAAACGAGAAAAGTGAAAAAAAAAAAAATCAAAAGCAGCATTTTGTTTAATGGATGGGAGGGTGTGCTTACCGGACCCTGGAGACTTCCGTCCTCTCGATCAATGCTCCCTCTGGACAGCCTCACGTCGGGTTTCTAAAGGAAGAGAAAAGAAACGTGGTTTTGGATCAGGGGTTTCAAGAGCATGGCCGGTCAGAGAGCTGAGGAATGAGAATTGTTAGCAGAAGCAAAGGAAATGCTGCTTAGAGGGAGGAAGGGGGGGTGGGGAGTAGGCTTTGAGTAAGAGAGATGTTATTACATTCCTCTTCTTTATATCCCAATGTTGTTTTTTTCCCCCGCCACGACTGGTTTTTGCAAAACTCTGCCACCAAACCTTCTCAAGACTTCCACCCCAGCAAAAAAAAAAAACCCCAAAAAACCGTTCTATCCACCCACTGTTTGCTTGCACGTAATAAAGGCTTTGAGATAAATATTGAGAGTACCATTTCCCCAAGACAACATTGGAAAACCTGCATTTTTAATTCTCTCGGGAGGAGGAAGAGCAGCAGCAGCAGCAGCAGCAGGAGGAGCAGCTCCGCACGGCTGCCGCTTCTTCCTAGCAGCAAAAGTTTCAACCACAGGATGAGAAACGCTGCGCATTAATTCCTGTTTCCTGCTTGAGGAAGGCTTAAATGTACTTGGCTCCCTCGCCAAGCTTCCCGAATGAACGGGGCCAATTGCTCAGGCTCTCTAAAAGCACAGAGACCGAGAACGTTAGGAGGAAGACTGTCTGCGCCCAACATTGCCCTGGTTTAGGAGGAGGAGGAAGGAAGGAAGGAAGGAAGGAAGTCTCGTTGTTATTAACTCTTTGGAGAAGCCAGAGAGGGACAGTTTTCTTGGAACTTCAAAAATTAGAAAAGAAGGACTCTGTTCATGAGTTCACCCTGACGTCTTAGGGATCATCCCCATCTTCTGATACTGAATAGAGTAATATGCAAAACTAAACAAAAAACTTTCCAAACCAAGAAAAATAAGAGTTGTGATAGTTGATTCTGTCTGTTTGTCTGTCTGTCTGTCTATCTATATCTCTAGCCATCAATTCATCCATCCATCAATCCATCATCCATTTTACACAAATCTATCTATACAAATCTATCAATCTAAATCTCTACACAAATCTACCTATACAAATCTATCTATCTCAATTATCTGTCTACATAAATTTATCCATCTATACCAAGGGTGGGTTCCACTTACCTTTACTACTGGTTCGCAGTGGGAGCACACGCGCATGCACAGATGACCCATGATGATGTCGTGGCAGGTGGGCAGAGCCTCCCGCTAGCTGTACTACTAGTTCTATAAAACCGGACAGAACCGGGAGCCACCCACCACTGATCTGTACAAATTATCAGTCTATCAATGTAAATCTATTTATCAATCTATGTAGACAAATCTATCAAACTATATCTATCTATCTATCCAAATCTACCTACCTACCTACCTAATCTGCAAATTGTTAAAATATCTGGGTCATCGTTTTTAAAATCACCTTACCATCCTAAGAATATCTGTATCACACCCAACTACCTGTGTTACCAATTACCAATTACCAATCTCTCTAGATAGTGATACCAGCTACCACCGCTTGCCTTTCCTTTCCCTGCTGGCTATTCTGTTTGCAGACTTGACAGTCAAATGGTCAGAGGTGGATGGGTGTGTATTTTGAGGCAACGATTTATAGAACCACTGAAACAAAGCCACAGTCCATCAAAACGTATGTTGTAATAAAAATAGGCTTCATATTGTTAGAAGTTTTTGTTGAAGATTGGCCTAATTTAAGTGCAAATTAAAAGTATCAAGAAGAACCGGTTGAACATGTGTACATTATTTCTTGTACTAAATTGTATTTTTTTTCTGGATTTGGAACCACAAGGACCCAACCTAATTCCTGATTCAACCACAGAGCTCCATTTGGCGTTTAGTCAAAAACTTTGCTTACCGTTCAATCTACTGCCTCGGCTGCTTCTGCAGGAAAAAAACAGGAACTATCCCCTGCTCAGCACCCATATCAGAGGTGGGTTTCAGCAGGTTCTGACCAATTCTGGAGAACCGGTAGCGGAAATTTTGAGTAGTTCGGAGAACCGGTAGTAAAAATCCTGATTGGCCCCGCCCCCATCTATTCTCTGCCTCCCGAGTCCCAGCTGATCGGGAGAAAATGGGGATTTTGCCACGCCCACCAAGCCAAGCCCACAGAACCGGTCGTAAAAAAATTTGAACCCCCCCCCACTGACCCATACAGAGAATTTACTCTATCTCTTAAAGTCTGTAGATATTCTCAGTCATCCAGGTCATGGTTCTCCCACAGGTGCTTTTTCTTTGGATGAGTAGAATCTCTACAGACTTTTAGCTATGCAATTTGGGATGAACTCCCTTGGAATGGTGTTGGAGTAAGGATGGATTTTCAGAGGAAAAATTGCAGACTACAGGAACCATTTGCATCACTCAGGTGACCCTGAGGACATAGATAAACTTCCAGAACCCTCTAAAACACGGTGTCAAACTCACCGCATCACCACATGATGCATCCGGCCAGCGGGTTTGGAGTTTGACAGCCCTGCTCTAAAAGGATGCAGATTACCAACTCTCTGCAAGGAATATAAATCCTTCCATTCCCCACCATCCTGTCAAAGCTGAAGAAGTTTCTTGGATGAGAAGCAAAATGCCTTCAAAAGAAAAACAAGGAAGTCCAGTTGCTTCCTGAAAAAGCACCTCTGGGATATTCTATCTCTTGTTCATCTGTTCATAAATGACTGATTTGCCAGACATTCGAATGGCTCCCCAGTCCTTTGCAACAGGAGTCTCCAAATTGACAATTTTACGACATGCTGGCTGAGGGATTCTGAGAGTCGAAGTCCACAAGTCGTAAAGTTGGGGATCCTTGCTTTACAAGGAAGTTTGAAAATGCGTCAGTCTAGTTATGCGCAAACCTCCTCCTGCAGGAGTGGGACCAGCCACAGTTGGTGAGGTTGCCAGATGGCACTCAATGTATACAGTCCGTGGCTCAACAATAATTATTAGGTTTATTTCCTGTCTTTTCTCCAGGAGCTGAAGGTGGCTTCCGTGGGATTTCCCTTCATATTGTTGGGATCATCTCCAACATCTACTCAGTGGGTTGAGATCGATGGGCCCAAAGTCGCCCAATCTCAGCTTACATGGCTGAGAATGGATTTAGACCCAGGTTTAAATCTTCCCAAACTTTTCAACTTCAAGAAATCGTGATGGAAGAGCTAATGCGGTTTTTGAATGGATGCACCATTAAAACAGAATAATTAATGTGTAAAAATGAGAGGTATCACTGGAAAATAAATATTAAATTTACCACCACAAAGGGGTGGAAGATAAATATTAAATTTTACCAAGATATTTTACACTGAACTATTACCCCCCTGATGATTAACAAAACGGATCATTCATATTCTAGAAACTTTTGGAAATGTAATATAACAACAACAAAAGTGTGTATGCCATATAATTCTCAATGACCCAAGTAACTCGCAAAAGTCTTATTTTTTTAGTATCTGGGGCAGTGGTGAAATGTAAAATATGTTACTACCGGTTCTGTGGGCGTGGCTTGGGGAGTTAATGTGACTGGGTGGCCGTGGTCAACTTTTTTTTCTTTTACTTTTAAAAGCATTTTTTCTATAACCTCTTCGGCCAAAGAGGTTGTAAAAAAAAATGCTTTTAAAAGCCTCTGATGATCAGGCAACTCAGCTGGGATCGTCAGAGGCTTTTAAAAGCATTTTTTTTCCTACAACCTCTTCGGCCGAAGAAGTTGTAGAAAAAATGCTTTTAAAAGCCTCTGACGATCCCAGCTGAGCCGCGCGATCATCAGAGGCTGGGGTTTTTTTACTTTTAAAAGCATTTTTTTCGGCCGAAGAGGTTGTAGAAAAAATGCTTTTAAAAGTTTTTTTAAAAAGCCTCTCATGATCACTCGGCTCAGTTGGGCATGGGGGAGGGAAGGGATTTTTGCTACCGGTTCTCCGAACCACCCACCGCCATCGCTACCGGATCAGTCTATCCGGTCCGAACCGGGAGCATTTCACCCCTGATCTGGGGACAATGTTGTAAAGCTCAACCATTCTGGAAGGCAGTCTATTTTAAAATGAAATCAATTTTAAGGCTGAATTCGCTTTCTTAGCAGATGTCTTTCAGTTAAGTTAAACAGCACCAGAACCATATATCACTACAAAGTATACCAAATTGGCTTTGTTTATGGTGACCGTTGCCAGGATACGTTTAAGTCTTTTACTGGAAATCACAAATAATTCCCTCTTTAATAGAATGCCAAAATAAATTGTAGGATTATGCGTCATTGTCAAAAAATAAAATTTGAAAAAGAAAAACCCTGAAACAGAATTTAATTCAACTTGGGAACCATCCATGGACTGTAATTCTACATGTAGACTTGTAATACATATAAAGTTTGGATTTTTTCTTTTTAACAGGTTAAGCTTTTTGCTTGATTTGTTAAATACGGATGTAATTTTTAGGTGACACAGAAACCTTGATTAGCTCTCATTCTGATTTACAATTCATATTGTACTAATTTACTCCCTGATACTAACCTGATTGTTACAACGGTTCTGAAGTCATAAATTATTCAAGATACTTTAAAATGTGGTTCCAATCTTAATACTACGTTGGCATTTCAATTTTTTACAGCTTCCACTTCTTCTTTATTTGCTTTTCTTCCTGGTTCTGCTTTTAAGCATTTACTGCAATTTTTTTTTTTAATGTTTCCATATCGCCTAGTTAACAAAGCAATCCTTCATATGTTCCCCACCCCTTTCCTTACCTTCCTACAACTATAGGATTGCATCCAGTTCATCAGATGAATGCAGATAATATATATTAAAAAAAAACCCTCCGTGATAATAAAATTGATTTGTTAAGTCATCACAAAACACTTCATTCTGTTTCTGTCAAGACCAGAAGACAGATACATCCAGCCAACATTCAAGTGGCTGAACAGAATGAGATCCAGAAACCACGATATTAAAGACCGGAAACAGCGTTTTGATCTGAGAAGGCCAAAAAATTACTCCACTTCTTCTTTTTCATCTTCCATATATCCAATGTGGAAGGGATAACTC